AATAAAATAAAAACAAATAATATCTACAGTCTTATTAGATTTGCAAATTAAAAAGGCGAACAATGATCTCAACTGACGATTACATCTTAGAGAATTTAAAAGGTAAAATACATACTTAATATCTTAAAATTATTATTTATAATTTAATTGCGTACTTAAAAATGAATGATTTATACTTATTTAGCCGATAAAGGAGCAAAACTTCTATGCGAAGCATTATTAATTTGGGATGCCGAAGCTCGACAAATTGTAGTGGATGCCATTAATGCTGCCATTCAGGAAGCCCTCGAAGGAATCAAAGTTGCTATTCGAGAAGCTTTAAAAAATGCTTTCGATGAAAATAATAAACAAATTAATAACGTTACCAAAAGGCACGATTACCAATTGAAGGTTTGTAATTTTGATAAATCTTTCCAATAGTTTTTAATAACAAAGCATTCATGCGTATTGTGCCCAATTCAGCCAGTATGATTGAAGAATAGGGAACAATATTCCTCTCCAAACTCATTACCCATGATAAATTTTAAAGTTCTGAATAGGGTACCTCATCTGGAGGTACGTTGCATAAACTTTCAAATCTTTTATTAAAAAAAGAATTAATTTTAGGAAAATTTGAAAAGTGCCGAAGATCGTATTCGAAGAGAATTAGAAAGAGAAATAGAAGAAGAAAAGCAAAATTCTGAAGAAAGAGTTAAAGAAGCTGTTCAAGATGGATTGGAACAATTCAAAGAACATCTTAAAATGGCCATCGAAGAAGCTGAAGCACAAGAAAAGAAGAATTCCAAAGACAAATGCAAAAGACTTAAACAGTAAGAAATAAGTATATCAAGGAAATAAGATCGGTTATGAACATATTAATTAATATTTTACAATATTTAAACAGTGAATATGACGAGAAATTAAGAGAAGCAAAACGAATTGCAATAGAAGATAAAGAGAAGTGTTTGATAGAAACTGAAAAGAAAATGTTAGACTATAAACAAAAGATAATAGAAGAAATAAAAATGGAAGGAATTGCAACAAGAAAAGAAAATTTGAAATTAGATAAAGAAAAGTTCGAAGAAATATTAGAAAATCTAAAAATTAAATTGAGACAATACGAAGAGGAAGAAGAAAAATTACAGCAGCAATTAATGGATATTTGTAAGAGCAAATCCCAAGCAGAGGAACAATTGTCGAATTTGAAACAACTTCTAAAACAATTTATCGAATTGGGAAGTAAAACTGAAGACACCACTTCTTTACGTTTTCGAAAATATTAATATACAATTTCTCTTGCTTATGAATTAAATTTTCTTCTTACTTATCCATTCTAACAGCGATTAAAAATGGCACTTTTATTACTTTCGACAAGTATTTATTAAAATTTTAAAACATTTAAATCTATTCTTGTCTCATTTTCTATTATAACAAATAATAAATATATATATTTTTTCTGTTTATTGTTTTCATTAGTATATCTTTTATAACTTACGACAATGGATGTAGTTAGTTCTACATTCGGACCCTAATCTAATCCCTATCAGTCCCATTACAGACAACTCTTTCTAAGATTTGGTCTTTTTTTTCTGTAAGAAAATAAGTAATAAACCCCATTAAATCTCTTATTTCATCAGTCGATTGTTCTCATATATATATATATAGGAACCAATAAGAAAAACACTTATAGAATAATTTTTCATTTTTTCAAGATTACAAATTTATTAATAATTATAAAAATTTATTTGAGAATATTAAGAAATTATCATTACGTTTCTTTGACATAAAAATTATATATCTTGCTACGAGATTCAAATAATTTTTGTTAAAAAAATACAATTTCTTCTTCAAAAATTTCAATTTTGACCAGTTGTACGAGTTCTTTGTAGATATTTAGAATATTCTTTAATTGTCTTCTTCGTATTGGCTCTATGGCATTTCTCTGATAATCTCAGCTCGTATTCTCTAACGTTAGAAGAAAAATATAAATTAGAAATTTGTTAAAAAATCAAAATTGAAGAAAGAAAGAAAGAAAGAAAACCTTTGCAAGTCCATCAGTCGCATTTCTACATTTTTCAACTCGTTTAACCAATCGGTATCGACAGTCTTGATTAGTTTATTACGAAGGAAATGATGTACTTCCTTCAGTGTAAATTTAATTCTTTCTTCTGTTTTTCGAAATTCAGCCAATATCTTATCTTCTATTTCTTCTACCAATATTCCGGTTGCAGCGGCTACAGCCTTCTCCTACAAAAATTTAAGATCGTTACTTCAACCCGATTGTATCCATAGTATTGAAGACGAACACGACCAAAAACTTCATCCATTTGTTCCCATTCCTCACAGTATTGGGTTGTTTAGAGTAAAATCTGTGTTACAATTACGAAATTATTTATTTTATTGCTATCGATAATACATCTTAACATCGAGACTTTGTTCTATAACACTAAGAAAATCATATTAAGACCATTTAAAAGTAAATTTCAATGACTTCAATTCTTAAATATATGGATACAAGAGATATTAGGGGAACGATGGACTTCCTCTATACGTTACGTGAAACCATATAAGAATTATATTTTTAGATATTACCTGAGCCATTTTGACTGATGGAAATCTTTAGCTGCAATATTTGAGACTAATTTCCCATTATAATAATAACAATAATAGCAATTAAAATAACATTATTACATATAAAAAATGAAGATTTTTGTTTCTTCGTTTGGCATTAAATTTTACGAAAAAAAAATCAATAGTTATTATTTATTTATTCAATATTATTTTTATAGAGATAAGTATCAATAGTCATAAATGGTAGGGCTTGAAGAACATTATGTTATACAGCTTGTAGATCAAAATTAATTAGTTTTAAGTGACACATTCACTAAACAGATAAGTTCATGATTAGGTTTCAATGATGCTATTCTCTATAAACAAAGAAAAATAAGAGAAAGCAGACTGAAAATATAATACTATGTATATATTAATGTTAGTGTGTGTATACAGAATTTTTTGTCAATCTTATATTAAATTACTCAATCAAGATGATAAAATTGTTATTTTTTGTTAGAAACTTTAGGGTTTTCTTATACTAGTTAATAATGAAATTAATACACTACAATCAAACCTCTGTATTTCAGATAGCTTCTTTGTAAAGTATTTTTTATTTTATAGATAAAGATTCAGTCAGTATTGAAGTGAAAAATTAAAACATCTTAAAACACATGCCTTAATTCGTTTTGCATAGTAAATATATATGTTATTTTTACAATCTTTACATCCACATTTATAACAATCAATAGCACATTACTTCTAGAGTCGCCAATGAGTTTCAATTGATTTACTGTTTCTACTGTTACTGCCACGCAATAAATACATCTCACCCTTCGTCAGACTCTGCATTAAGATTTTTATACTCCTGTTCCGAGTATAAAAAACTTAGTAGTACAGATTTGTATACATATATAATTATTACCAATAGCTATATTTTTAAAGCATATACTGTAGAAAGCATCAATTTCTACAGTATATGCTTATCCAATTGTCTATTCTTGAAATTATGATTTACTCAAGACTCCAAAAATTTTTTCCTGCCAATACATAAGAATTTAGCAGTTTATCAATAATATATAATATACCTGAAAACTTCTGTATTATTATTTGAGCCATGTTTTTAAATCTTCTATCCTCTTTACAACTATACAATTACTCCACTTAAGATAATGATTTTCCATTCAATGTCCAGAATCCTATAAAAATTCAGAAAAAGATTTATACATTTCTGTCTGTCTATATTTGGTATCTGTCAAAATACAGAGAATATTTTATAAGAATATATTTTAATTTTTATATTAAATACAAACAGAAGTAACTTCTTAATCATATTAACTTCATAAACGATTCTAGAATTCTGTAATTAAAAGATCCAATTAATTTTATGATGATGATGATGATGATGATAAAATTTATGTTGAAGTTCACATAATTATTGAAAACATTTTTAACATGTTTTGCCAAAAAATCTAGTTGCAGCTGTAAATTTACACTCCAAAATGATGCTATAAGTGGTAGATGAATCAGTCAACATAAATACATGAAGGTAATAAATTCTTATCATTTTTCTCATTTTCTGTTAAAATGTAGCAAAATTTTGGAATAGAATGTATATAAATATTTATTCTAAAAGTTTTCAATTAATGTTTCTTTAAAATACTGTATTAGGAATTGATATGAATTAAATTTTGTTATATTAATCATATTATTTTTATCTATAAGATCACTTTTCTCTTTACTGAAACTTATAGTTTTTGACATTTTTCCAAGTTTTATTTTTATCAAATTTATAAAAAAAAAAAAAATATTTGCTTTAACTTCAAAAAAATGAGGAAGTGAAAATAAATAATTTGATATGAAATACAAGACACTTTGAAACTTGAAGTTCTATATTATGAAATTTTCTAATTTAAGAACATAAAATCATTAAAATAAATCACTGTAAACTACATTAAATACACATTTACTGAATGGGTTTGATGATGATTCTTCATTTATTAATTTTTCTATATTTTATTGTTAAAAAATAATACAAAAATAAATTTTAATTAATTTGCATACAGAAATCATTGTTTTTCTTCTTATAAACTTCTAAGGGAAATTATTGCGTAGACACGAATCATTTCTATCTGATAGTTTGTATTAAATTACACACATTATAGTAAATAAAATATATTAATACATAAAGTGCCATCAGTTTATATGATGATAATTGCAAATGTAAAATATTTGTATTCTTAAATATTCTGATTTAAAAGAAAATTGTGTAAAATTCATCAACTGAGTTTAAAAGATACACTTATTTTTCTTTAAAATTTATTTAGAAATATATCCTAAACAATCTAAATCAATATTTATATGTATATAAATCAAAATTACAATTTTAAATGATTACAATATATGCTTTCTAACAGGGCAGTAGGAAGGTTTCTATGGTTGTTCGATTTATCATTTTTAATTTTCAAATTTTAATAATTATATGCATTTTTATGCTAATGTATCATTATGTTATCTATAATGATTACAATCAAAAGACTATATTAAAGATTAAAGTACTTTCATTCTTACATATATTTCATTTTAATTTCCAAGTTTTTAAAGAGAAATTACATAAATTGGCACAATCATCATTAGTATCAGTTACTATTATAAATACAGTAAATATTTGGACTAAACAATTTCACAATTACGAAAGAAGTCACAAGGGGGTTCTTCAATAACGAGGTGCATGTATGTATCTGATCGTTCGAATCGTCACTTATAATCCAATACGACACTGACCGAATCGAGTGGGTGCTATAACAAAAGTCATAAATTTATCTTTGCATGGAAAGAACGCCACATCCACCATAAGTTAGAGCTACTCTTACAATTTTAAAAATATTTTTCTGTAATGATGATGTGATAAATACAAGATGTGTCTAGATGAAACAATAAAGGCACAAAATTCGAACACTTTCTTTAAAATTCATTCATGTTGGCTCCAAGAAAGGTTTCTTTGAATGGAACGAATCATCGATGTCAGTCGAAGCTTTTCTCTTTCCATTGTACTCAAAATTTTCGACTATCACCACTTCTTCCATATCTAAAAAGAATGAACAGAGAGTGTTTATAATTAATCAATATAGCTTTGTAAACAAGAAATACACAAACTGCAAAAAAATCATAATTTCTTACCATAATTCATAACAATATTTACACAAATTTTCATTCATTTGTAAATAATTAAAAGAATATATTTACTGTGAGAGAAGCAATTGTGAGTATATTTGTAAGAGAATTAGAGTTATGTTTTAAGAATAAATTTTTAGAATATTGAAGCACTTTTCAAAACAAAAATTTTAATAAATAAACAAAGAGAAGTAATGTAAAAATTCTTTGTAGTTCAATTATTTTTCCATATGGTAAAAAATTTCACTCCTGCTTTTATAAACTAATTAGTTTCTGAAAAACTATTGTTAAATAAGGCTATCATATTTCCCAAAACATCAGTATCATAAATTTAAGGAAAAATGGTTATCATCAGCGGCATGACATGCTGTCCATGGAAGCTGTGGAAACACCTCTTCCCATGTATTTTAGAAAATACAAAGGAAGCAACTTTGAATTACTTAAAATTAATATTTTATTATAACCATATTATGTATCTTATTACAAATTTCTATACATGTGAAAAACAATGATAAGATTGCTATTGTATATTTGAATGTAAATTTGTATATTTATATTTCCAATGGAAGCACTGTATTGCCGAATAGGGGACAGTTTCCACAGTGAAAATATTTGAATGGTGTAAAGCAGCCAGATTACATGCATTTGCACATGCACTTTACAGAGCATCAACCTCTGGCGGTTCAGCTAGTGGATGCTACACACCAAAAAGTCATAACGCTTCCAATGATTCCATCCATTAGTCACTCATAGGGAGCTATTTGACTAAATGCATTGTTTTAAGATTTAAAAAATAGAGAATATTTTATGTTATTTTTATGTACGTTTCTTTACAAAGCTATATTTAATTATAATTACATTGACATAAAGTCTTTAGAATTTTTATCACTTTTAGGTGTTAATAATTTTAAATATTATGAAAAACAATAAAACAATTTTCCAAAGCGAGTTTTGATTCTTTACATAAATTTTATGGAGGATTTTTTGATCTATCTAAATTACATAGTGAATTGCAATATTTATATTTGTGTCCAGACTATATTGGCAAGTCACTCTTAGACATAAAAAATATTATAATTAATGACAATCTAAACAAAGATGTACTAAAAGAATTATATGATTTAATATCATTAATTTTTATGGTACCATCTACCAGTACGTCTGTTGAGTGCAGTTTTTTAACTGTGAAGCGAATTCATACATTGGCAAGGTACACTCGGTCAGAGGAAAGATCGTCGTCACTAGCGTTGCTTTCGACAGAAAAAGAGCTTTTAAATACTTTGATGGAATTGACAACAAGCAACTTTTACGATAAAGAAATTAACGACTTTGTGGAAAATAAATCACCAAACAGTTAGTTTAAAGAAAAGAAAAAAAAAAA